TCAGGCAATCCTTCTGTCTCAGCCTCCCGAGTAGCTGGGACTACAGGCATGTGCCACCATGCCCGGCTAAACATATATATTAGTTGTCCAGCTAATTTATTTTCATTTTTTTTGTAGAGATGGGGTCTTGCTCTTACTCAGGCTGGTCTCGAACTCCTAAGCTCAAATGATCCACCCATCTCGGCCTCCCAGAGTGCTAAGATTACAGGTGTGAGCCACCACGCCCAGCGGCCCCACTGTATATTTCTTTAAACATTTCATATGTAGTTATCTTATATTCTGACTCTGATGCCATCCAAAGACTTTGGGGGGACCTAAATCTGTTTATTGTTTCTGCTGTCTCTTGCTGCGGTGGCTTACTTGTGTGTGCGTTGATTTTTTTCTTGTGGGCCCGTATTTGGTTTTACCTAATCTCTGGGAAACCAGAGAAAAACTGTGGTTTTTCTCAGAGAGGATTTGCTTTTGCTTTTGCCCAGAGCTCAAAGACACTCCTGCCTGGGCCCACGTTAGTCCAGAAATATGAATATTTCTGGCTTAATGTGAATGCCAAGTTCAGCTACCTCACTTTGGGCTTGGGTTTGGGGTGGGGACAGAGCCTAGGCTTAACCTGCGGCCACTCTCAGGGCTCTCCCACCCTTCCTTGCCTGCAGCTTTCCATCCTCTAATCTACTTCATCCTGATGTCCTTTTTCTTTCTCATTTCTTTAAAGCCCTTGGAGATTTCCTTCACTTCTTTGGAGTCCTGGAATGCATGTTTTGTTTGAACTTATCCAGGCTCTAGAAAAAGCCCTTCAAACTACAGTCATCCCTTCGTGTCCATGGGAGATTGGTTCCAGGACCCCTGAACATACCAAAATCCACGATGCCCAAGTCCCTACTATAAAATAGTGTAGTATTTACACGTACCCTACACACATCCTCCCATGTACTGTGAAGCATCTCTAGGTTACTTATAATGCCTAATACAACGTAAATGCTATATAAATAGTTGCTATATGCTGCATTATTATTTGGGTTACTTTTTCTGCTGTACTGTTATTGCTTTGTTTTTGCCAAATATTTTTGATCTGCAGTTGGTTGAATTCATGGATGTGGAATCCCAGGATACAAAGGGCTGACTTTATCCAGCTGGCTGAACTATAGAAGGGGGGAGTCCATTCATCCCTTCTCTCAACGATTTATCAAATAAATCTCTTTAGAGCCCCTACTTTGAGCAGACTGGGCTAGGTGCTGGGGCGGCAGACATTGAACAAGACATCCTCCTGCCCTCCCAGAGCTCCCAGATTCGGGGGAAATAGGCTACTGCGGTGGAGCAGGAGCAATGGGACAGGCGGGAATGGGGGTGTCAGGGGAATTCAGTGGAGAGGCACCCTGGGGAGCATCCAGGAAGACAACTTTGAGAGTGGGATGAAAAACCGATTCCAGCAGATGAGCAGGAGCTAGTGAGGCCAAGTGGGGGAGAGCAGAGGCTAAACAAGCCACACTGGGGGCAGAAGCACGCTGGCAAGGCGGAAGGCTCGAGGGGTGGGAGCACGGGATACCAGAGAGGAACCAGGTTTAGCTTGAGGAGAGTAGGAGGAGGGTGAAGGGCAAGATAAAACACTGAGTAGAGTCACCGAAGACACTGGGTTCCATTCTGAAGGCAGCAGGGTGGGGCACTGATAAAATGCAGGGGAATGGCACATGCCATCAGTTTTGGATCACAGGGTTGCAGTGTGAGCCCCCTAGGGATATGCGGGGGCCAGACAGGAAGGCAAGGCAGGAGCTCAGGTGGGAGAAGGCAGCCAGGGGAGGAGAAGGGACATCTCTAGGGGCCTGGCCGGTGCTGCAGAGTGACAGCCCCCAGCTTTGGGCTCATCTGCTCAGGCTGGGCGTCCAGGGTCTGCAATCTCTCGGGTAACAGCCCACCCACCCGGTCCTGCCTGCCTCGGCGGTGAGTAGGCTGCTACATCTCAACCTGAGCCACGCCACAACTTGGCTCTCCTTGCAAACACAACCTCCGAAAAGAACTTTCAAAGATCCAGCTGATTGCATCTCTGGTTACTAGGAAGCAGCAGGACAAGTCACAAAGCCCCACCACAGGAAATAAACACGCACCAGCAACAGGCAGCCTTTCTCCACCAGGACTCCAGCCTCCTGTCCTTCATGCCAGCAGTCCCCAACCTTTTTGACACCAGGGACCGGTTTCGTGCAAGACAGTTTTTCCATAGAGTGGATGGGGTGAGGGTTGGGCACTGCAGCTTTATGCTGCTTGGCACGGGAACTGAGCAGGCATTAAGAATAGCAGCAGCTTCTCCGGTGCCAGGCACCGTGCTAAACACTTTCGTCTTGTGACCCCTTAGGAGGCAGCCACCATCACAGGGGCTCCCACTAAACGGCTGAAAGGTTAAGTACTAAGGTTGGACAGTCTGAAGCTGTGGAACAGGATTTTCATGTAGGCACGTCAACCTCTGGGTCTATGCACCCCATCCTGCTTTAGAAATCAGACTGACAGAAAGCACCCCTCATTTTTTTCTAATAATTTGATTTGGGAAAAATTCTAAGTTTACTAAAAGTTGCACAGATAATATAACATTTCTGTAGACCCACTTTCCCCTATTCGTACCTTACATTGCCATGATACATTTGTCAAAAGACACAAACATTGGTATGTTACTAGTTGACCTTTAGACTTTATTTGGATTTCACTAGTTTTCTACACTGAACCCTCTTTTGGTTCCAGGATTCAGTCCAGGATACCACATTGAATTTAGTTTTTGTGTCTCCTTAATCTCCTCTGCTCTTGTTTTTCATGAGTTTTAACAATTTAAGGAGTATTTTGGAGCATGTCCTCTGCTTGGATTATGGGTTTCCTGTGTTTAGACTGAGTTATGTATGGGTTTTAACAAAGACTATTACAGAGGTGATTTTTCACAAGTAGTAACCTTAATTTGGTTAAGTTAGCATATGCTAGGTTTCTCCACAAAGTTACTATTTCCCTTTTCCATATTCTACTCTTTGGAAAGAGAGACACTAAGTCCAACCCACACTCTAAGGGCAAGGGAGTTCCACTTACTAGAAGAGTATCTACTTAGATTATTTACAATTCTTTTATACAGAAGATGTGTATCTTCTTCATTTTTAAGATGAAGAAACAAATTCAAAGGGTTGATTTGTCTAACACCACAGGGTAAGTTCAGGACCCAGGACTCCAGGGCTCTTCCAAGGAGAAAAAAGATTGTAGAGTGCGTCTGTGCAAACACGAAGCACAGTATCATTATGCAATAAAAAGGAACGAAGTATTGGTTCATGCTTCAACGTGGATGAACCTTAAAACATTATGGTAAGTTAAAGAACTTACACGTAAGACCACATAATGTAGACTCTCATACCCCATGTGATCCCATAAGATCATAAACCATTATTTCTACTGTACCTTTCCTATGTTTAGATACATACTTACCATTGTTGCAATTGCCCGCAGCACTCAGTGCAGTAGCCTAGGAGCAAAAGGCTACACCATCTAGGTTTGTGAGTACAATATTTTTGCACAAACTGGACATCACCTAATTACCTGACGAGTTTCTCAGAACACATCCCTTTAGTTAAGTAATGCACACCTGTACATGAAATGCCCATTATAGGCAGAGCTATATAGATGGATCAGATTGCCCAGGGCAGGGGAAGGAGTGATTACTAATGGGTTTGTTTCAGTGCATGGGGAAGGGGGTGAAAATGCTCTAAAATTGATTGTGGTGATTGTCACACAATTTGAATCTTAACATAATACTAGAAACCATTGAACTGTATACTTTAAATAGATGACTTGCATGGTATGTCAATTTCTTTTGACAAATATTTCAATAAGGCTGTTATTTAAAAAGTGCAGCTCAGGAGTCAGAACAACTCTCCTTTTAAAAACTGTGCCTTTGCCAAATTACTTTCTGTGCTGGTTTTCTTAGTTGAGTTTTGGAGGTGACAGTACCTTTTCCAACAGGCTTAAGATTCAGTGAAATGACTGAAACGCCTAACTAGCACGTAACTAGTGCATCCCAGTAGCCCACACTTCTCCCAGGACCTTTCCATTTGCTTATTCCTTTTGCCTGAAACATTCTGCTCTAACATGCCACCACAGGTTTGCCCTAAGTAACAGGACCCCTAAACTTCCCCCTTACTGATTCTTTCCTCAAGAACTTATTCCTGTGTTCTCAATGCCTCCCCCTCCAGCCTAGGACCCTCAGCATCCTCTCCCCTCCACAGGCCTGGCTGATCCTGCTCATCCATCGGCCCGTCCCGCCTCTCCCGTCACAGGGTCCCATGGCAATCCTTTGAACACTCAGTACCATCTGGTGTCACTGGGACCTTGGAGCTGGTGCAAGCTTCCGGAAAGCAAGAACTTTATCTTTATCACTGATGAAAATAGGACTTGGTGTGTATTTGTGGGGTGAATCTTTATGTACTTTATGTACTGATGTGGAACAATCTCCAAGATGTGCCAAGTGAAAAAAAGCAAGATGCAGTAGAGTGAGCTACAGATTTTGCACAGAAGGTGTGGGGGGAGAACACACACCCACACGTGTTTATATATGGCTCGGGTCTGGAAGGCTCCTCTTCTGCTCAGGCTACACTTGGATCAACAGTTCCCACTCTGCTCTGGCTCTTTAAGAATTGGTCCATTTTTAGAACCATCTCTACTTTCAAAACAAGGTCCCTAAGGCCTTGGTCTGCTTTAGATGACCAAGGCAACTTAATGCCACAACAAGCAGTGTGAAAAAGACCCAACTGCTCTCCTCGGGCTCCTTCTCGCAGGCCAGTTCACAGAACATGGGCTCACTCTGTTCCAAGTCAGGAGCTGAAACAATCCCTCCTGACAGGTCATCTTCACCCTCTGAAGCAGTATGCCCTGCCTGCAGCTTCACCACCGCACCTGTGACCTCAAGTCAGCCCCACTCCCTGATCAAACCTAAACAGGAGGAAGGAATCAAGTATCCCTAAGTGGAGGAGAAAATATAAGAGTTGAAATAGTTTACACGAAGGCAATTTATTAACAGAAAATATTGTGAGGAGTCCAGTTCACAGTCGGCGACCACGGCGACCCCCCTTCCTGCGGGTGCTGTCGGAGGGGATGGGGGTGACGTCCTCTGTGGGGAGGAAAAGACAGTGTCATTGCCTGGAGCTGCATGGGAAGAACCCCGAGGCCAATGGCCTAGCCAATCAGCATGGATCCTGTGCTCCCCGAATAACTCCTCAGAACGTAACAGATGGACATGGAGCTGCCCCACCTGCTGTTTCCTCAAATTTCCTGATGTGGTCCTTAACTCGCTTTCTATAGAAGGGGAAACAGGCTCTAAGACAGTATACAGAATGTCAGAGGCAGAGGACAAATCCAGGTTTCTGACACGGACTCACTGAACTCTCCAGCAGAAAAGCCCACTGGATACAGGGAGCATGCTGCACCACTATACTCCAGCCTGGGCAACAGAGTGAGACCGTCTCCTCCTAATCCTCCTGAACAGGGCAACCGCAACTCTCTCCTTTTCAATAAGTAAAAGGATGTTGAAAATAGTCTAAAAAGATTATTCAAGCAGACAGCTGGAACTTAAGACTATAAAGGATCAGTACACATTGCTACTAATCGCACAGAAACAATAGGGAAGTGCTAATACCTCCTTTCTAGGAGCTATAATGGGCCAGGAGATCACAAACTTGAGGGTATTAATGGAAGTTGTTAGCCGCCCACAAATCATTTGTGGTTGTCACAACCAGCACACCCTACTGATATTTAGCAGGCAGAAACCAAGGGTGCTTGCTGAATGTCCCACAATGCAGGAGACCAGCACACACAAAGCGCCAATAGCAATGCACCTGACAAACACTAGGAAGGACAGTTCATCTTCCATCGTCGTCACCAGCCTGTCTCAATCCCTGCACCAGGCAATGTGGGGCAGAGATTCATAAACAAAACTAGGCTGTCCCCATGCAGATAGAAGGACAGTCATATCAAAGTGCTAGAGATATTCAGAGAGAGCCTAAGTCACAAGGTGCCTCTTGCAGCCTCTCTCTCTCTTTTTTGAGAGAGTCTTGCTCTGTTGCCCGGGATAGAGTGCCGTGGCATCAGCCTAGCTCATGGCAACCTTGAACTCCTGGGCTTAAGCAATCCTGCTGCCTCAGCCTCCCGAGTAGCTGGGACTACAGGCATGCGCCACCATGCCCGGCTAATTTTTTCTATATATATTAGTTGGCCAATTAATTTCTATTTCTAGTAGAGATGGGGTCTCGCTCTTGCTCAGGCTGGTTTCGAACTCCTGACCTCCAGCGATCTGCCCACCTCAGCCTCCCAGAGTGCTAGGATTACAGGCGTGAGCCACCACACCCGGCCTCTTGCAGCCTCTTTAAACAAACCTAAGTGCTAACAGTCAGTCACCAGACCAGTGCCTACATCCACTGGGCACATCACATGCCTTTTGGGCCCAATGTTTCAAAATAAATCCAAGTGTTAGCTAGAGAGATAGGGGGACTTACCAATCCTCCCGATCTTCATACCAGAGCGGGCCAGGGCTCTGAGGGCTGACTGGGCTCCAGGTCCAGGGGTCTTGGTCCTAGGAAATGAAGGTTTGAGAAAGGCCACTGGCCAAGTCAGTGGGACTTTTAAGATCCCACAACCCTCTAGTTAGGAAATCTGCAAACTTTCTGTAAAGCGCCAGACAGCTATTCTAGCTTTCATGCCCCCTCACCCCCAACTAAAGTCCATATCCTTACCCTGTCCTACAAGACCCAGTGAGACTCCACCCTTTCCCCCTCTGATCACTTTTTATGCCACTCTTTCCTTCATAGGTGCCCAAGTTCACCACGACTCTAGCTGGAATATCCTCCCTCTGTCCCTCCTTCACTGGAAGGACTCCTAGTCTTCATTCAAACTTTAGTTTTAATGATATTTTATCACCAACTCTTTACTTTTGCTTCCTGGCATCTGTCACAATTGAAAACCACATACCCACCCCTCCCCCACTACTCTGTTGTTTAAAGTTTGATGTCCCACCAGCTTAAGTGCCACACTAGGGACTGGGCACAGAGGCTCATGCCTGTAATCCTAGCACTATGGAAGGCTGAAGTGGGAGGACTTCTTGAGGTCAGGAGTTGAAGACCAGCCTGAACAAGAGAGAGACCGTGTCTCTATAAAAAATGCCAGGACAACAGAGCCAGACCTGGCCTCCACAAAAAAATAAAAAACCACAAAAAAACAAACTGGAGTTTGAGATAAGTGCCACACTAGGAGGGCAGTCAGTATCTAGGTTATTCCTGTTATTTACCTGTTATTCTTTTCTAGTATCTAGAACTCAGCACCTGATAGGCAGTGGGTACTCAATAAACACTAAGTTCCTGGAGGCGGGGTGCACAAAGGGGCCAACTATTAAACATGCACACAACCAAAATATCTTGTTCAAGGTCACAACAACAAAAAAATCCAAGTGCCCTGGCACCCAAGTCCAGTGGACTTATCCCCCCCCAGCCCCCCCCCCACCTGACGTACCTATTTCCTCCGGTGGCCCGGAGTTTGATGTGCAGGGCAGTGATGCCCAGCTCCTTGCATCTCTGGGCCACATCCTGGGCAGCCAACATGGCAGCATATGGTGAGGATTCATCACGGTCAGCCTTCACCTTCATCCCACCAGTCACTCGGCAGATGGTTTCCCTGGGACAGACAAAAGCACAGAGTCATTTGGTTCTCATCCAACAAGGATCCACTGAGTGCTTATGCCCTAATGAGTGAAGAGCACCATAGCTCAGGTATGACAAAGGAGGAAAGACGATGGTCAACTTGAACATGAATACTGATCCCAGACAAGACCACCATGGGCTCTGCATTCATGGGGTTCGCAGTCTAGTGGGGTTGAAAGGCTGAGCACTGTTAAATTTCATATTAACACTTTGTATATTACCACACTCTAAGAACAGAATGTGTTTCCTCTCTTGTAAATCCTCAGAAATCACATTTATGGCCTAAATGAGCATGCATGTTTTTTCACCTGAACAACACAGTGATTCTTCAGAGAGAACCCCCCTAAACCGCTACCCAGTCCCAGCGTCATTTCTTCCCCCAGCCTCTTGTGCCTTTCTACACAGGTATACTCACTTGCCAGAAAGATCAGTGACATGAACAAAGGTGTCATTGAAGGATGCAAAGATGTGGCACACACCAAATACATTCTCTCCTTCAGCCACCTGAGGTCCAAGGCTTATGACCTGTTCCTCCTTCTTTTCCTTCCCCTTGCGAGGTGCCATTTCTGAAGCGGAAAAAAACTTCAATGTTAACAGACAAAAAGTTCCCAGAACCCCTTTTCCCTAGGAAAGGAATCCCCAAGTTTTGCACCTGTTTCCCTCCATCCAAGACTATGCTATATGCTCTCATCTCTGCCTCACTAAAACTCATTTCTCCCTACACTTGGGGGTGTCTCCTAGCGGCTAAAAAAAGCAAGGTACTATGAGGTAACCTTTCCCTAGCAACTACCAAAAACACAGCTCACAACACCTACAGGATAGAAGCTTAGGGATGGAGCAGCAGATCATTAAGCATCCCTAAAACTTTTGCCCAGTGGGCCTCCAAATACAGACAACATACTGGCACAGGTCTCTAGAGACCTCTCAGATCAACTTAGCAAACCTAGGGAAATGCAGTTCCCCTCTCTGGGCCTTATTATTTCCAACAGATAAGCTGAAAGATTTTATCATTTGTTCTGGGTGACACAGAAAGTCAGCTGCAGCACAGAAATCAACCAGGTTAGGAGATTCTCAGTCCACACACAACACTTCCAACAACAGGATTGCTTCTGGGTTTCCCAGCCCCAGATATCATTTACAGGTGAGGCCAAAGAAGCCTGAAAGACAATACCCCAAAAGGCAAGAAGCAGCCCAAGACCAGCACAGACCCATGTATTGATGAATACTGTTCTGAAGACCCTTATCAAGAAAAGGGGGAGGAACAACCCAAAAATCCATTGCCTGACTCAACTTCTGTACCAACGAATTCAAGGGTCCCTTATCAGTACAGCCCTCAAGCCTCATCTCCTATTTCCTGTGTTCCACCTGATGCTTCCAAAAGCCAATCTAAGGACTCTCTCTTATCCTGTGGCAATTCATCCTTCTACAACTATCTGAAACATCCCTTACATTTTTACTAGAATCAAATAGTAAAGGTACTAAAATATGTCCAAAGGAAGACTAATGGAAAAGACCCATCTGAGAGATAACATGTGTCTATGAAACCAAAAAATTCTAATAACCTGATATGGCCTAAAATGTAAGTATAATCATACTGTCATGAGACCTGAGTAAGGGAGATGCTGACAGGAGAAAGGTAGATGAGAATGAGAATGGGGAGAGGCCAGTAGAGGACTGCTTCCTTCCTAAAGCCCCAGGCCTTCTGAACCTCCTCAGGCTCAGGCATCACAACAATTTGCTAAAAAAGTGTCTTAACTTCCAGTTCAACACTCTTGCCTGGTGCCAAGAATGCCTCTATTCCACAAATAACTACCCCAGACCTGAAAGTCTATCTCAAGTGTTCACAGATTTCTCCAGGCCTTACTTATGTAACATTTAGTGAGTATGTGATCACAGTAAGTACTAGAAGTGTAGGTCTTGGGTGTACAAAGTTAACTGTTCCTACCCTCAAATTAGACTAATGAACATGACCCAGTGGACTAACTACTGTGAGGAAGGTGCCACAGAAGAGAAGCCCAAAGTACTGCCTGGAGAAGCCTAGAAAGGCTCCAGTAGATCTCAACTATGTAAGCATGAATAGAAGTTTTGACATGGTGGCCATTCATTTAATTTGCAGTTTCCCAATCCTAACGTCACCCAAAAGTGGCAGTAAGAAGAGGGGTCATCCGGGGATACACAAACGCATGGCAAGCGCTTAGCAAACAACTGCTGCTGGGCCCTGAGCACCCAGAACTTGCAACGTGCTTTCAGCGATGTCAAGAACCATCCACATGCAGGAAGCATGCAAAACAGCATCAGAGTTTTCCCTGCATCTGTTTCTTGAACCATAACTACAACCTCGAGACTGGTGTTACTGCCACGCCTATTTCGCTAACAATAAAACACTCACTTGTAGGTGCGGGCCTGCGCTCACCCAGAAGGAAACTAGCGAGGTTGGAGGTGGGCCCACGTCGACCAGGGCGTTCCCGCTCCCCCAACCACGCTTTGCGGTCGCTCAGCCGTGGCCGTGGCTGCAGCACGGGGCCGAGGCCTTAAGACGTGGACCCGCACTCACCCCCACTTCACAAGCTCTTCCCTGACTCAAGACGGCGGCCTTCCGAGACCCGGCGCGAACCTGACCCCCGGTAGGCCAGGATCCGGTGGACCAAACGCGCGCCTCTCGCCCAGCACCTGGCTCGGCTCCGGCGGAAAGACCCCAGGCCCGCGCCCCTAGCCTCACTGGGCCCCCTATGCTGAAGGATGCCACCCGATTGTCCGCGCCGCGGCCTCTTACCTGCGTGTCGTCTCCAGACTCCGCACCGGAAAGAAAGAGTGGGAGAGGGCGGAGCGACGGGTCACTTCCGTGTCCCGGAAGTGTTCCTCTGAGGTCACGGGGCAAGGCCGGCTCCCGGAAGAGGCTGCCTTTGTTGCTTGCAAAGAGATTAAGACTTGCCCTAGTGAAAGACAGTTTATTTAAGGCAGAGTGAAGGGAAGCAGGGTGCTGGGTGTCGCTGCGAGCAGATCTGACTACGCGAGTGCACAAAGCGGCTGCACCAGGTGGGTGAGGCGGGCCTGTGTTCCAATATGGCGGCGGCCGCGGCTAGAGGGACTTCCGCCATCCTGACTCTGGGCCTGGCAGCCTGGGAGCGGCAGCGCACCTCGTGTTGCGGAGGGGAATAACAACAACAAAACCTCCGGGATTGAAGCTGGGCGGGTGGCCTGAGCCTGCTGGCGAAGCTGAGGTGGGAGGGTCCCACAAGCCTGCAGTGAGTCCGGTCTGGACAACATAAAGAGGCCGCCCACACCCACACACACATTTCGTCTTTTTCTTTTCTTTTTTTTTTTTTTTTGAGTCAGAGTCTCACTCTGTTGCCTGGGCTATAGTGCTGTGGCATCAGCCTAGCTCACAGCAACCTCAGACTCCTGGGCTCCAGCGATCCTTCTGCCTCAGCCTCCTGAGTAGCTGGGGCTACAGGTATGCGCCTCCATGGCCTGGTAGTTTTCTATGTATTTTTATTTGCCAATTAATTTCTTTCTATTTAATAGTAGAGCATGGGGGCTCGCTATTGCTGCAGGCTGGTTTCGAACACCTGGACCTTCGGAGTGATGTGCCCCGCCTCCAGCCTCCGAGTGAGGATCTAGCAGGCGTGAGCCACCGCGCCCCGGCCCACCTTTCGTCTTTAAAAAAGAAAAATAGGCTGGGCCGCGGTTGGATCACGCCTGTAATCCTAGGCACTTTGGGAGGCGCGGGGGCGGGGGATTGCTCAAGGGTCAGGAGTTCAAAACCAGCCTGAGTGAGACCCTGTCTCTACCAAAAATAGAAAGAAATTAATTGAACTGGAAATTATACAAAAAATTAGCCGGCGCATGGTGGTGCATGCCTGTAGTCCCAGCTACTCGGGAGGGTGAGGCAGTAGGATCGCTGAGCCCAGAGATTGAGGTTGCTGTGAGCCAGGCTGACGCCACGGCACTCACTCTAGCCTGGACAACAAAGTGAGACTCTGTCTCAAAAAAAAAAAAAAAAAAAAAAACCAGCTGAGGCAAGAGCGAGACCCGTGTCTGTACTATAAATAAAGAAATTAATTGGCCAACTAATATATATGAAAAAATTAGCCGGGCATGGGGCGCATGCCTGTAGTCCAGCTATCGGGAGGCTGAGGCAGGAGGATTGCTTGAGCCAGGAATTTGGTTGCTGTGAGCTAGGTGACGCCACGGCACTCACTCTAGCTGGGCAACAAAGCACACTCTGTCTCAAAAAAAAAAAAAAAGCCGGGCCGGTGGCTCACGCTGTAATCCTAGCTCTCTGGGAGGCCGAGGCGGGGGATTGCTCCGGGTCAGGAGTTCGAACTAGCCTGAGCAGTGAGACCCCGTCTCTACTATAAATAGAAAGAAACTAATTGGCCAACTGATATATATATAAAAAAAAAAAATGTAGTGCCCTCTTTCCCCTTTACAAAAGAAATTAATCACAGAAAATGCATAAAACAGAACATGTAGAAAGGAGAACAAGAAGAAAGGAGTAAGAGTCTTATCTACTGCTACATACAGGAAATAGCTGTCTTTTTTTTTTTTTCTGAGACAGAGTCTCTCTCTGTTGCCTGGGCTAGAGTGCAGTGGTGTCAGCCTAGCTCACAGCAACCTCAAACTCCTGGGCTCAAGCTATCCTATTGCCTCAGCCTCCCGAGTAGCTGGGTCTACGGGGACATGCCACCATGCCTGGCTAATTTTTTCTATACATATTTTTAGTTGTCCAACTAATTTCATTCTATTTTTTTTATTAGAGATGGAGTCTCACTCTTGCTCAGGCTGGTCTCAAACTCCTGAGCTCAAAGGATCCTCCCACCTTGGCCTCCCAGAGTGCTAGGATTACAGGCGTGAGCCAACATGCCTGGCCAAGAGGTTCTTTGGTTTTTTTCTTTTTAAAGATTGCATCAATAGCTGATATTTTACACTGATGGGAATGGTCTGGCAGAGAGAGAAAAACTGTCGCTGGAGCCATGACCTTGAGCAGGTGATAGGTGAGGGGCCTGAGTGTGCAGGTGGAAGAATCAGATTTAGGCGGGAGTGTGGATAGCTCATCTTGGGTGCTGATGGGGGAAGGAAGACGTAGAGGGTGGCATATGTGGCAGCAGGAGCACGAGAAAGTTCTCACCAGGGAAGTGGGAAGCAAGCAGCTTCCTCTCAATAACCATATGAGGCAGAAAACTTTTATTCCTTTCATTTTACAACTGAGGAAACAGGTAAAAGGTCAACAGCTGTCCATGGGGCTCCAGGATCAGAGCCTAAGCAATCTGACTCCAGAGCCCCAGCAGTTGTAATCCAGGGGTTTTCTAAATATCTATTGATTGGATGAAGGAAGGGCAGGGAATTGGCTTGGAGGAAGCAGAGCCCAAGCCCTTTCCCGGCTCAGCCTGCGAAGCCCCTTACTTCCCACTCTCAGCAACGGTGCATACTTTAATTTGTCCATGAGCTCTATGCTCTCCTTCCTTGGAGAGCAGTTATGCAAATGGTAGAGAGGGAAGGGCCGGGAGAAGAAGATGTGGCCCAGAGAGGGTGCATTAACTCACTAAGACACACAGCCAGGAGTCTGACACCAAGTGTGGCCCAGTTGCCCTGGGGCTTGGAGATAGGGCCTTCTGGAAAGTGTTGTCCCCTGCAAAGCTGTGGTGAGGTCACCAGTCTGTGGCTGGTCTGAGCCCCAGGATCCTGGCGAGTCCTGGGAAACAAGGGCGAGCACATGCTGTGTGTGTTGGGGGTCAGGCCAGAGCACAGCCTAGGGGAGGAAGGCTACAAAGGGTCTGGAGATGGCTCTGCCCTGTACCCTGCCAGTTTCCATCCTCCACCAGCTGGGACCCGCCTGCCCCCGTGCTCACCTGCAGTCTCATGCATCTCATCAGAACCCCTGTAGGGGCCCAGGACCCTCTCGGTGCTGCCCATGCAGGCACAGGTGGGGCCTGCTGCCAAGGGGCTCTGTCTCCCCGACCATGGACGGGACAGAAGGAGCAGTGTGATGGCATATGGAGCAGGGGCACGGAGGGCAGCTCCAGCTTGGTCAGGGGCCTCTCTGGGGAGGTGCCATCGAAACACAGGCCCGGTGGGGAGGATTCTCAGGTTAACACAACAGCCTGTGGGAAGGTCTTGAATGAAAAGGGAACTCCTTCAGGCATTTGGGAGAAGTTCCCTGTGGCTGACTGACGGGAGTGGTGGGAGGTGAGATGGAAGATCAGGGGGTGGGCCTCGGGCTGCTAGGGGAGGCCTCCATCCCCTCACCCGCCGGAGGCGGCCCCTGCGTTTGATCCTAGGCAAAGCCCTGCCCTGGGAGGAAGGTCGGAGGTCGTGGGGAGCGGCCCCACCCGCGGCGAGGGGCACACCGGGGCGGAGAGTCCCGCTCTGCCGCAGCGCCCGCAGTGCCCGCTAGATGGCGCGTGATCTCCGTGCTGCCCCGGGAGGGCCGGCCTTGGCTGGGGCGGGGATGGGGGCGCGCACGTGGTGCTTTAGTTTCTGAGCCCAGAAGGGGGTGTGTGTGTGTGTGCACGCGCGCGCCTTGATGTACACACTCTCCTTTTGTGTCTCATCATACCCTCCCCCGCCGGAGCCCAGATTATTATCCTAGTTTTACAGAGCGGGAAGCTGAAGCAGGAGGTCAGGGGCGTCCTGAGGTCACTACAGGTTCAGAGTGGGGTGGGTGGGCAAAGACTGCATCCAGGCCTCTGTGCACTTTGCCACGCCGCAGAGGACTGCTCCGAGTCCTCCAAAGGGAAGCGCAGGCCCCAGTGGAGTGGCAGTGCCAGGATATGGATCCTGAGTCATTTGTTCATTCAGCACATTTATTGAGCACCTACTGTGAGCCAGGCACTGGTGATCAATAAAGCAATGGATAATACAGACGGATCTCTTTCCCCATGGAAGGGGCAATCTAATGGAGGAGACGGCCAGATGTTATACAGGTAAACATGACAGATTGCGGCAAGTGCGGTGACAGAAACAGACAGACACAAGAGGGCTACAGGGGTGGGCTCACTCTCGTGGAGGGCAGGGCAGGCAGGCACAGGACTCAGGAAGACATGTGGAAGCTGAGCTCTGAAGGATGAGAAGGCGCAGCTGCCAGGCGAGCTGGAGACACAGCGTTTGGGACAGAGGGAGCGGCTAGTGTGAAAGCCGCCATGGGGAAGAGCCTAAGGAACTGCAAGGAGCTGGGGCTGGAACCAGGAGGAGGGTAGGCAGTGAGGTCGTCCAGGAGGGTAGGAGCGAGGTGACGGGGACTCAGACCCTAAAAGACAGCTCGTGTGTAGGCGGACAGCAGCATCCCAATCTGAGAGATACTTGGGAAGTAGAGTCTGCAGTGTTTTCAGATGAATTGCCTACGGGGCAAAGATGACCCGGGTTCTAAGCACGAGCAATGGGTGGACCAAGGCGGGAGGCCTGGGAGAGGTCACGGCTTGGGTGGAGGGTGGGAGTCCAGCTCACGCCCTGCTGTTTTGGGAGCCATCTGCGTGGTGTCCCGGTGGAAAGATGGCATGGGCAGCTGGAGCTCACTGGAAAGGCGGGGGCTGCAGACATAACTTCAGGAGCCTCTCGGTTGTATTTAGTGTCAAGGGATCAGATGAGATCGCTTCAGACAGCCCGCAGTCTGGGCCGTTCTACAACAGTAAGCAGTGAAGGCCCCATCAGTATGGCCTGTGGGAGAAGCTGGCTGATGCCCGTCATGGCGGCTTAGAGAGAGGAGGCTTCATTGAGAGAAGGTGGAACAAAATATTTATTGTTCTTTTTATTATTATTATTATTTTATAGAGATGGGGTCTTGCTATTGATCAGGCTGGTCTCGAACTAACCTCAAGCAATC